TAGATAGATAGATAGATAGATAGATAGATAGATAGATAGATAGATAGATAGATAGGCATAAGCATCAGGGAGTGTACATATCATTCTTGGAGGTGGTGATAATCCTTGTGTGAGGCTGGGGGCAGGCTTGCCCATCTCGTGACTCATTGGGGCAAAGGAACATAGGAGAGAGAGAGAAAGAGAGAAAGAGGGAGAGAGAAAGAGAGAAAAAGGGAGGGAGAGAGAAAGAGAGAGAGAGAGAGAGAGAGACAGAGAGAGAGAGAGAGAGAGAGAAAGAGAGAGAGAGAGACAGAGAGATGACATGGGGGCAGAGGGAGTTTAGTGTGTGTGTGTGTTTATGGGTACGGGTGTTTGTGTGTATGAGAGTAAGTATGAGTTTGTGTATTTTTGAGTGTGTGAGTTTGTGTATTTTTGAGTGTGTGAGTTTGTGTTTATGTGAGTAAGTGAGAGTATGTGTGTGTGTGTTCAAATGCGTATGTGTGCGTATGTACGTGTGCATGTGCAAGTGCGTTTATGTGAGCGTACGTACGGTATAGGGAGGCGTAAAAAATGACAAGACGAAAAAAAAAATTTGCAGCAAAAAAAAAAACAACAAAAGCAGAGAGGATCAAAATACCAGAGAGGAAGAGGGGAAAAAAAGATTTTAAAAAAAAAAAAAAAAAAAAAAAAAAATGGACAGAAGAGAAGAGTGACCCAGATTATGTCATGAGTGCGTTTTGTTTGTTTGTATTTGTGGCAGAGTAGTACAGTGGCCAGTGCAGTCAAGGATTTAAAAGTAAAAAGGGTGGTTGGGTTTTTTAAAAAAAAAGGGAGGTGGGGGTGGGAGGAGAATGGGTGGGGGGGAAAAGGGTGTGAAGGGGAGAAAAAATAAAGAAAAAAAAGAAGAAAAATATGATTATTCAGACACCATTCATCCCTGAAAATGAAAGTATATAGGCGTAAAGTGCAAAAGAGAATCAAATTGTGGAAAATATTCGTCCCTGAAAATGAAACGAAATTTATTACGAAAAATATATTTTTTCTTTTTTTAATTTAAATAGTGGGAAAAAAATATTGATTCCTGAAAAAGCAAAATAAATTATAATAAAAAAATTTGTGGAAAAATATTATACATCCCTGAAAATGCAAATAAATCAAATATTAATTCAGCAGAAGAAAAAAATTATGACTACTTGGTCCACGCCAATAAAGCTATAGAGTCATTCTTTCTACCGACGCGTGGGGTCTGAACTCACATCTACTGCATACTTCTCTCTGTCTCTATCTTTCTCTCTGCACCTCTTTCTCCCTTTCTATCTCTAAAATTTTCTTCCTCTTAGTTAGTTAGTAGTACGGGGTTTTATGGCGCTCGCAACTGCATAAGGTCATATGAGCGCGCGAAACACAAGTTAGTTTTGTTCACAACAGCCCACTGTACGGCTGGCTCGGGTCAGTGGTTAAATCCTAAAAATGTTTAAATGTTTAAAAATCAGTGTAAATATATATATATATATTTTCAATCCAAAACATTTCTTCCTCTCTCTCTCCCTTCATCTCCCTCTTCACCTCTCTCCCTCTCTCTCTCTCACACACAAACACACACACACACACACTCAACTCTCCCTCCTCTCACTCTTAAACATGAAAAGATTTCCTTCACATTCACCTATGCGTGTTGCTCTTAGAGTATGTACCTATATATATATATATATAACTCTAAAGGTCTTGTAATTAAAAATTCCTGCATGTGGTTGAAGGATACACCTGATGAGAATGTACATTTTGTCAGCTTTACTCCTCTTTTCATATTGAATTTTAATGAGAGTAATATACAATTACATTTTTTTATGTATACCTGCATGTATTTTTACGGTCCTATACAACCCAAAAAAATTTCCCTCTGGGATAATAAAGCAGTATCTTATCTTCTATTATCTATTCGTGGTGGCCGAATTTTGCTATTCAAAAGGCTTTTTAATGGCTACATCGATCGACATGCGGTTTTCGCCAAAAGATGCTTTAAAATATTCTCCAGATCATGGCGCCCTTGGTTTTTTTTCAGTTTTGAGACAGTCTTGCTGCAAAAAGCTAAATTTCTTTATTTCGCCGATCGCTTTTGTAGGCCGACGCTTCTGTCTCTGTAATTTTAGAAAATCCGGAAGTGATATTTCGCGAGGCACATTTTGTTTTGAGAGTATAGATCTAGACCTAATTTTTTGCATCTCTCAAGATTTATTTCCCCATTCCAGTAGAGTGTAAATATAGTAGGCCAATGACTTTCAGCTTATATTAAAGCACCGATCATCCCTTTCATCGACAGGGGGCCCAGCTAGTATCTCACATAACAATACAGTGATGCAAAACAATACTATCGAAAAAAACAAAATTCTGAATGCAATATAATAATATTACGTTCCATGCACGGTCATTCAGCTAAAAATATGCTTCCTGCAAGGGACATAATCCTGTGAGAAAGACGGAGGAACGGAAAGACGGATGAAGAAAAAGGTGTACGTATGTGGGTGGTGGGTGTTGCATTACGACATGCAGTACAGAAGAAAGGAAAAGGCATGCTCTGAGG